GGTTTTGATGTTCGTTCTGAATCTTGTGACGAACGCCTCCGCCAATTGTGCCCAGGAGGCTATGCTGCCTTCTGGAAGTTTTTCTAACCAAGTCAAGCCTAGGTCGCCAAGGCTTGATGGGAAGAGGATGCACATTAAAGCCTCGTTTTGCCGATATACCGCCATAACCTGGCGGAAGTGGCTTAGGTGAATGTAGGGGTCCGTCTTCCCCTCGTACGTGGTGAATTTAGGCTGAAGGAAGCCTGAAGGCAGGGGCGCGTTTTCGATCGCTGGAACAAACGGCGAGGTCTGCAGCCTTGCTAATGCTTTGTCCGTTGGTTCGTAGGTAGGGTGTGGTAATGGCATTCCAACCTCGACGCTTCCATGCGTCCGAGGAGCCAACCGTTGAAGGGCAGAAACTTTGCGAGGGTCGCGTGCCCTAGTGTCTTCCTTCCATCGTGCCTTTTCTTCCAGCATGATCCGCAAATCGGATGATCTTGGCAACTCCGTCTGCTTAGATGATGTTTGGTGCGAGTGCGAGGGTCGGTAGGTACTTTCCTCTGTGTAAGACCTCAATGATCTCGTTCTCTCAGACCTGGAGTAACGAGTTCTGGAGGTTCTAGACTGAGTATCGCCTGTCCTGGGGCTTCTACTCTCTTCTTGTGATGGTGGGGAATGCCTTCTATGGTCTTCTGAGCGGCGAGGGGGCGTCTTGTTTTTGCGCCCCTCTCCTGTCGCCACTCCTCCCCTCATTTGGCGCTTCAAGCCTCCATGTCTGCCGCCATCTTCCTTATTAATTCGTCTTGCTCTTTCACGTGGTCCTCCAGAATTTGAGGGTCAATCCTCTGCCTTTGCCTGTCCGGACTTTGTGAATGAGAGTGACGGGGGCTGTTAGTCCGTCTCCCCCTAGTATCCCTCATGGGGTTATGTCGTTGGGGCTCCAAGTCCGCCATGGGGGGGATAGAAGGTAGTCCTTCACGCCTTGCACCCCCATCTGGTGTTTGCCCGTCGATGGCGGACTGCGGTAGATCTTCATTGTGCACCATTGTTCTTAAAGAGGTAAAGCTTGATCAAGAGATTTTGTCCTGTCTGTTTTTCCCACAGACGGCGCCAATTGTACGGGAAAGAAATAAATCTTCTCGTATAATCCTGTTGATCAAGTCTGTGCTCCTCCGTACGACATCGCTTTACTCCCTGAAAACATAAACGTGAGCTAGCCGGCGGGTGTGTGCCGGAAACCCCTCTGATGCCTAAGTCAGAAAAACAGACAAATAGACAAGCTCTGTGAATTCGAGAATCAAAGTTGTGTTACCTCTCCAAAGGTGATGTTTGTGAGCTTTTATAGGTTTCGTGTGGCACAATCCTAGTAGGACTTCTACTCCTCCATGCAGAGTCCTCCTAGGATTCATACTCTTGAAGGATAATGCTTATCCTTCAACACCCCCTTCACTGCTTAAACCAAGTGAGATGGTTTTACCATGGCCGAACTACCATAGGACCGAAGTAAGCATGGCCCTACTTAGCCGAACTATAATTAGTTTGGTTCTCTGTCCTTTGTTCCTCTTCCACTTACCAGGGTATGCCCAAACCGAACTATCGTTTTACCAAGGTATAGACCGATCTAGTTTAGCTGCGCCATGACTGGTATACGTTCAAAGCATCCTTCAACCGAGCTAATCACCAAGAGTCCTTCGGACCGGTCTAACTTCTGGCCTTGAGACCGGACTAAATTTAAGCCTCTTCAAGACCGGAGTAACTTTTTGGCCTTTTTACTCACCCTTCACACCGAGGCCCATAACAACCCAGCTCGGCCCAATTCGCATATAAATTACCCTCTCAATATATATCATATAAAATTATTATATGATAATCCAATTACAACATATTTATATTTAAATTTTTTTGATAAATTTTATATAATTTCTATTTCTACATATTTTATTTTCTAAATTAATATAAAAGACAGTTAAATAGTTAGAATTACTTTTAATTTTATGTTACTAATTCTTCTTCTAATTTAACTATTATTTTTAATATCAAATGAGTATTTATTTTACTATTTTATAATTTAATATGCATCATACAAAATTATTGTATGATAATTACACTTTTATAATACGATAGAACTAAAATTATCAAAATACCTAAATAATTTAATCAAATTAATATATAGAAGTATTCAAATAACAATTTTATAGTACAATAGCGTCAATATTATCAAAATAAATAATTAAAATCATACTTTAATTTTAATTTTAAATTAAAATTAAAATTATTATTTTATAACACATATTACACCATCAAATATTTTTAAAAAATAAAATAATACGTACGGTACACGTTTCAACTATTAATATCTATACTATATATTAAGCAAAAGGGGATTTTTAATCTCAAGTCTTGTGGGAGTTCCAATCTTCCAATCTAAATTTTTTGATTTTTTGATTTAAACAAAAAAATGAAACTTAGCATTTATTAACTTCTCCAAACTCCCAAGTCTTACCCTCATAATAACACTTTAATGCATTAATAACAAACATAAAAAAAATTCTTTGAAATTCAACACATATAAATTCTTTGAAAAGTTCAAACACATATGATTATTATCCCTCATAATAACACTTTAATGCATTAAGAACAAGCATAAAAAAAAATTCTTGAAAAGTCCAACACATATGAAATCCCCTCATACAAATAATTATAGATACAGCCCGTGCATAGTTACTGCGGTAGTTTTTTTAATTTCTCCTGTACACTATGGTTAGTAATAAGATTGTTAAATTATTTTTATAAAAAATCTTAAAAAACATAATTTAGATATTAAAAAAAAATTAAAACATATATAAATATCTATAATTATCCTGTGCATAGCACGGGTGATAGGCTAGTAAATATATTAAGAAAAAAGGGGCTTCTAAACCCCAAGCCTTAAGCAAGCTCCAATCTCTTAATCTTAATTTTATAAATTTTTGATTTAAAAAAAAAGAAAAAACTTCAACATTTATTGATTTGGTCAAAATCCCCTTATCAGCATTTATTAACTTTTTTCAATCCATATGCCTGCATTTATTGATTTGGTCAAAATTCCTGATTAACATTTAAAATTCTCTCATACAAATAATTATAGATGAAGCCCGTGCATAGCTATTGCAGTATATATTAAGGAAAATAGGGTTTCTAAACCCCAAGCGAGCTCCAATCTCTCAATCTTAATTTTCTAAATTTTTGATTTAAAAAAAAAAGAAAAAACTTCAGTATTTATTGATTTGGTCAAAATCCCCAGATCAATATTTATTAACTTTTTCCAATTCACATGCCTGCATTTATTGATTTGGTCAAAATTTCTGATTAGTATTTAAAATCCCCTCATACAGATAATTATAGATACAGCTCGTGCATAGCTATTGCAGTAGTCTTTTTAATTTCTCATGTATACTATACTTAGTGATAAGATTGTTAATTATATTTATAAAAAATCTTAAAAAACATAATTTATATATTAAAAAAAAATTAAAACAAATATAAATATTCATAATTATCTCGTGCATAGCATGAGTAATAGATTAGTAATAATATAAATGAATAGCTGATCGAGTCCAACAATGAGCAACATGATAGACAGCACAAGAACGAAACCTCACAGAACGTGGCCTACCTCCGTCGCAATACGGCCAAACGGGGCTAGCTCAAAATTAACTCGTGTGGGATGCTTTTAATTAAGCATCCGTTTGGGAAGTGAGTTAGTTTTTTGATTTTTTGATTTTTTTGACTATTTTAGTCTGGGTTAAAAAGCTTGGTTTGGGAAGGACTTTTTGACTTTTTGACTTTTTTGAGTTTTTTTGTGAGAGAAGAATGTAATGATTATGGGTTGGATGTGATATTTTGTTTGTTATGGCTAAAATAGTCTATTTTGTTTTTTGTGACTAAAATAGCCAAAAAAGCCTGCAAACCCACTTGCCATTGTCTATTTATTTTTTTACATATTTTTTTAAAAAATTAAAAAATTAACTCTTGCTTTCTAAAATGAGGAGGTAATACTACTTTTGTATTAATTCTGGGTCCGCTGCATTAAGGTCTCGTTTGGGAACATATTAATTTAGTAATTTTTTGATTATTTGATTCAAATATGAGCTAAAAAAAATATATTTAGAATGATTTTTTGACTTTTTATAAAAAAATATGTAAAACGTAGAGAGAAAAGACAATCTTTAACTTTTTTGTATGAATTATTAGGTTTTTAATTTTTTTAATAATTTCTTAACTTTTTAATTAAAAAAGTTATTTGTCAAATGAGGCCTAAGCTCTCTTTGTCGGAAAATATTTTTTATAAAATTATTTTTTGAAAATATTTTTCTATTTTTAGCAGCGATGTGTGACGGAGGTGGAGATAAAAGTGGTGAGATGGCGGTATGGGTTTCAATAATTCAAACTTTCAAAAAAAGCTATTGTCAGAAAAGTCGGTGGAAAATTGTCAAACTTTCAAAAAAGTTATTATTGTCAAATAATAGAGGCCTGTTTTGTTTGTATTTTTGAGCCTCCGTTTGGGAAGTGGATTGATTTTTTAATTTTTTGATTTTTTAGTTATTTTAGTCTGGGCTATTTTAGCTTGGTTTGGGAAGAACTTTTTAATTTTTTGGCTTTTTTAACTTTTTTTTGTGAGAGAGGATTGTAATAATTATGGGTTGGATTTGATGTTTTGTTTTTTGTGGTTAAAATAGTATATTTTGTTTTTTGTAGCTATTTTAGCCAAAAAAGCCTGGCTTTTTTCTTCCCAAACGGAGCCTGAACATATTTTTGAAAAAAAAATATTTAAATTCTATTTGCTTTAAATTTTTTGATTTTTTTTTATAAATTATTTTATTTCTTTTACACATCAATTAATTATTTTTTCTCTTTCTTCTCTGCTTCTCAATCATTTTTTCTCTTATATACATTTACTCAACTACAATAAAATATCAAATTATTTCAAACTCTTAAATTATTCTCAAAATATATAAAGAAACAAACTAAATTTCTAAACTTCCTCCCTAATTTTTTATTTTATAAAATTAATCTCAAAACACAAACAGAATACACTCTACATGTTTGAAAAATCAGCATTAATGTCTCATCCCCACTATCAATTGACCCAACAATTATTTATTATCATCATCCCATAGAGAATTTGTTTACAAATTGCTTATGGCTATGAATCCAATTTTCTTGTTCGGCTTCACCTTGTTTTTCTTCATTGGGGGACTTGATTCGGCTCTCGTAGCAGGAAGAATCAGCACCATCGGACATGGCGATGAGCTCAATTTCACTGATTCTCTCGTGTCCCAAGGTGGGAATTTCACCTTAGGATTTTTCACTTTTCCAATTACGAATCACAGTTATTTAGGCATATGGTACACAAAGGACGATCAACTTAGAAGAGTATGGGTCGCCAATCCAAACAACCCTTTAAGCAATTCCAGTGTTCTCACCATTGACAACACCACAGGAATTCTCAAAATTACCGACAGAGGAAGGACTGTTCTGAATATTTACGATCAAGTCTCCCGCAACGCAACCGCCACGCTCGAAGATTCCGGCAATTTGGTTCTGAAAACCGAGAATCAGATTTTGTGGCAGAGTTTTGATTATCCTACAGACACGCTTCTACCGGGTATGAAAATTGGAACAAACCTTGTAACGGGCAAAAACTGGTCGCTTACTTCCTGGTTCAGCGAATCAATCCCGGCTTCGGGGACCTTTAAGCTGACCTGGGAGGATCCCGAACCGCTCGCCGGTCCAGGCGAATTGGTGATTTATCGGGATGGACAGCGGTACTGGACGAGTGGGCTTTTGTCATATCAAAATTTCCCGAACATGCCTATGTTGAATGGTCCTAATTCTGCGTTCCATTACAACCTTCTTCCAGTATCAAACAAAGAAGAAAAGTATCTCACATACTCTGTTTATGATGAACCATTACTGATGTGGAGGTTGGAGCCAAGGGGGGGTATTGTTGGTAGTGATACTTATATTACACCATATCGATTTTGTTACGGGTATCAATCGGGTAGTAATGATGGTTGTGTGAGCGGTTTCGGGCTTCCCTCATGCCGGAGCAGGAAAGATACGTTCATGCAAAAGCAAGCGAGGGTTGAAGGAAATCCTGTTAGCCAGCGCGACGATAATTCGGGCTTAAGCATTAGCGATTGTATGGAAAAGTGCTGGAACAATTGCAGTTGTGTTGGGTTCACCACAAGCAATAGCAATGGAACGGGTTGTATAACGTGGACTGGAGACTTGGTATATCAAGAAACCAGTGGAGTCGAGGGCATATACGTGATGGTTCATGAAAATTCACCTAAAAGTAAGCTCATTTTAATTTTGAAAATGTCCAAGAATAATATGGTATGTTCTATGATTGGTTTCTTTGCAAATAAAACAACTTCTAAATTTTCATATCTATGATTGATTTCTTTACAAGTAGAACAGTCGTTTAATTTTCGTATATCTGATTCTTGAAACTTATTTGCATTGGGTTTTCCTAGTCATTGTTTGAATACCCAGTAACCCACATATGGTGGGTAAAGACTAGATGGGGCAATTGTGGTTCACAGATGACAGGATCCATGTTCAAACAGGATTAGGAGTTTAAAAAAAAGGGTAAAATTGTAAATTGATCAGAACCAGTTTAAACCATATGGCTTAGTCTAGTTTTTGAGAGTACAATTTGATTCTTCTTGTAAAAAATTAACAACCATAGATTATGGTTCAGCTCAAAAATACTGAATAAAATGGAACTATTCAGTATTTTTATTAATTTTCATATGTATCTGGTTTCTACAGTGTACTTGTGTTGTCTCTTTTTCCTTTCATTGACTTCTTCAAACTTTAATATATTTTCCATTCATTTGGTATAGATAAGTAGAGCTAGTTTATTAGTTCTTATTAGAAGAAGGGAATAACACAAAGGTATTAATTTTTTTTTCATATGATTTAAACTCGCAATTTCACACGATGAAGTAATGCTACATAACCACTAGGTCCAAGACTTTAGTTAATTTTTATTGAATTAAATAATAAATATATTAATGAATTTTTTTAACTCATTAATACACCTCTGTGACTCAAGCTTGGCAATTGCATAACAAAGGAGGACTACTATAGCCTACTCCAAAAGAAAATTCCAAATAATTCAAAATTTGCTAACGCCATATTTGAATCATGAATTTGTATAAGAATTTGAAAAGGAAAAGAAAAATGGAAAAAAAATTAATTTATATTTCATTCACATTTTTCTTTTTTCTTTCTAAATCTTTGCTGAAATTCATAATCTAAATGCAACCTAATTGAATTAGAAAGTATGAAATGGCATGGAAAAAGTACATGGAATAAAGTATAATACCGTGGGGAAACTAGTTGATTCAGTGACGGAGCTATGAAGGGATGTGCCCCTCAATTTTGCAATTTAATTTTTTTTAATTTAATTTAATTTTTTTATATATAAAGAAAAATAATTAACAAATACAAAATTTAAATAGAAATTTAAAATGATTTTTTAATGGCATTTTTCAAATTACAAAAATAATGATGGTTGTTTTGATTAAAAATGAAGAAATTACAAAAATACATCATTATGTATGAAAATTTTATAAAAAAAAATTTAGTGCAACAGTGATACCAAACTTACATGTAAACATAGTTAACCCTACTACGAAAATGCAGAATTATTGAATTGTTATTTATATTTGACAAATAAGATTAACCTTTCATGCGTTAATTTACTATCGGTTAGTAATATTATATATTGATGATGATGTGGTATTACTATTATTTATATATTATTATATAATCTATCATAAAATATAAAAGACTATTTTACATTGCCTATAATATACTAGTTACAAGTAATATCATATTTTCAATTTTGATTTTTCACAAGGTCAATTGTAAAAAATATACATATATATATATATATTTAAAACTTTTATATTAAATATTTAAGAATTTGTGCTTAATAAAATTATTATCTATTGTTATTTATTATGAAGTTTTTTTTTGAAAATTTAATTAATAAGTGCTCCCTTTTAACTACTTTTTCTAGCTCTGCAACTGAGTGGATTTGTGATTATTCATGTTGTGTAATAGTAAAAACATATCAACATATTCTACGTTTGGTCAGTATGATACATGAAAATTTCTCTAAAGTGGTAATAAATAATTTTTGGTATTTGTGCAGGGAAAATATGGGTGCAGGTAGTCATTGCCATGGCTATTTCTCTACTGATCCTCCTTTCCGGCTACTCTTGTTATCTGATACGGAGAAAGTATCAACAACGTGGTACATGTCTTGCAATTGCTTCGTTAGCTTATTGATCTTTCTATATATTGAATGTGCTTATTAGTGGTAGTATATATTGAATGTAGAGGTGGAGAAGAGAAAGCGAAAAGAATATTTAAAAGAGTTGACAACTTCAGACAGCTTTAATAATGCAAATGAAGTTGAAGGTGATGGAAAGGAAGGTCATGGTTTGAACATCCTTGGCTTCACAACCATGATGGAGGCCACAAATAACTTTTCAAATGAAAATAAGCTAGGACAGGGTGGTTTTGGACCTGTTTACAAGGTAAACCGGAGATCTTTTTTGTTAAAGGAAAAAAACTGACGAGTTTTAGTCTAATGCTAAACTAATGTAGATAAATTATTCAAACAGGGAAAATTACGAGATGGGCGAGAAATAGCAGTCAAGAGACTTTCAAGAAATTCAGGACAAGGGCTTGTGGAGTTTAAAAATGAACTTATACTCATTTCCAAACTCCAACACACAAATCTTGTTCGGGTTTTGGGGTGTTGCATTCATGGAGAAGAAAAGATGTTGATTTACGAGTTCATGCCAAACAAGAGCTTGGATTTCTTCATTTTCGGTGTGTAGTTTTCTAACCTTGTTTTTTAATGTTAATTTACAATAATCTTAAATTTATTATGCAACTATTTGTGCTCTATGTAAGTTATTGTTCATTTTGAAAATCTTTCTTTGAGACAGATCCAACTAAAAAGGAGTTACTAGATTGGGGAAAACGTTTGAATATCATTGATGGGGTTGCTCAAGGACTTCTTTACCTTCATAAATACTCAAGAATGAAAGTAATACATAGAGATTTGAAAGCTAATAATGTATTATTAGATGAAAACATGAATGCCAAGATATCTGATTTTGGCATGGCAAGAATTTTCAAGCAAAACGAGACAGAAGCAACTACTAACAGGGTCGTTGGAACATAGTAAGTGAAACCGTACTACTTTCATATGATTGAATTAAAGTCTTAAAATTTTGTGCATTGATTATGATTTTGTTAAAGTATGCTTAAATTTTTTTTCTTTTTAAATGATGTGATACAGTGGTTACATGTCTCCTGAGTATGCCATGGACGGAATTTTCTCAATAAAGTCTGATGTCTTCAGTTTTGGAATCTTAATCCTTGAAATTGTAAGTGGTAGAAGAAATACTAGCTTCTATCATTTTGATGACCATTCACTCAACCTGATTGGATATGTAAGTTTGTCTAACTAATCCCTTCTAATACCTTTATTTTTGATCAAATCATTTGAATGCAAACACATTAAAATGATAAGCATGTAAATAAAAATGAAAATGGTATTGCCTCAGGCATGGGACCTATGGAAACACGGAACTGCATTGGAGTTAAAGGATCCATCACTTGGTAGCTCGTGTGCCACAAACCAACTGTTGAGAATCATTCATGTAGGCCTTTTATGTGTGCAAGAAAGTGCAACAGATAGACCTACCATGTCGGATGTTATTTCTATGCTAAGTAACGAAACTATGGTACTGCCTGCTCCAAAACAACCGGCGTTTTTCACTGGAAGAAATGTGCCTAACACGATGACTTCAAATGGGGGCACGTCGAAAGATTGTTCACTAAATAATTTAACCATTTCTATAATGGAAGCGCGATAGGTTATGAGTTCCTTTTTTTGTGTGCTTCAATTACTTAGCAATTGTTTGGAATTTTGTTATCTTGTATGTTATCTCATGAAAAGTGGATGAAGATTTACATTTATCAATTTGGAACTATTTAGTTTAGTTGAAACTAATCCTTTTCAATTATACTAGAATTGTAGTAAATTAGAGGATGATTAGACAGTTGCAGATTTCTTCATGGCAAAACATGCACTCAATGTTACAAACTGGTTCAATGTGGTGACTATGTATATGTACATACTTAAAAGCTAGTTGATTGTGAACAAAAATTGCAGTGTTTGGACAAAATAGGTTGCAATTTATTCACCCCCAAAAAAATAGGTTGTAGTTTTGGCAATGGCTGTGATACTTTTGGTTTATTTTCCAAACCAAACGAGGCTTTTGTCAGTTCCTTCCAAACTTCATGGATAATTTTCTATTTTTTTACTTTTGATAATCCAAGGTATCTCGCGCCCTGTCTAGTCTAATTGGACCTGGATTACTTCATATCTAAACAGTTGAAAACTAATCTTTGTATGCCCTAAAATTAACCACCCTGCAAACTTCTAGTTATGGCAATCCATGAAGAGTAGTAGTTGGTCGGGCACTGTTCTTTGGTTCTAAATAGGGGTATTTTTTTTTAGAGAGAGAGAAAGGGTTTTACTTTGATCTCAATTATTTTAATTTGAATAATGTTTATTTTAAATTTGAAGTCTTATTTTAATTTGATTATTTTGTTCAAATATATATATATATATATATTATCTTTTTTGCAAGATTCATTGGGAACACGTGTCTTATATTTGGACATGTCTTAAGAACCTGTGTGTGGGGTTATTTTATAATTTTAAAAAGTTGGTTTGAAGTCAAAGTAAAATATTTTAAATTCACGATTTTTTTACACATGGTAATCATATTAGAGGAGTACACCTAAAAAAATATTGACATAATTTGGATAGAGTGATCAAAGTGAAGCTAAACTTAAAATTTATGATTTAAATTAAAATTTGAGTCAAATTATAAGAGTGAGATGTGCAATTATCCTTTTTGTTTACATAAAAATAGGAGTTGAGAAATTATAAAAAATGATGAGAAAGATAAATCTTTAAAATTCAAGTTTTATTTCTCAAAAAAATGTTAAGATTTGAGAGAAATCAAATTGCTTTTTAAAAAAAGAAAGAAAGAAAAGGATATATATAATACCCAAATTACTCTTTAAATGTCATAGTTAATAAAATAAAACGATACATGCATCCTCTTTTATTTATTATTCATCCAAATAATATAGCAAAGAATCACCATATTTATTTATTTAATTTAGGGCAATCAAGTTTTGTGCCAATAGGTCCAAGCTTAAATTTTTTTAAGGCCAAAAGGACACATATATGTCCAAAAGAGATATTTATTTGTTTAAAACTTATCTATTTGTCTATCTATCTAAATGTCACTCATATGTATCAAATTTCACTTATATATACATGTATTACCTATCTATTCACTTATTTGTTCAATGTCATATATCTGTCCATCTCACTACCACTAGCTACCGCAGGTCTCAACAATATTCGGGGCTAACTTTTTTGATGACTTTTCAAGACATGTTTTTATCACCATAAAAATATTAAATTTTAGATCAAATAACATATGACCTCATAAAAATGAATTTTTCACCAATTAATTTTTTAATTTATTATTATTTTCACTAACAAACTCTTGCCTTGTGCAATGCCACCTCGCATCCAAAAAGAGCATAAAGACGAGTCTCATCCCCAAGGTCTAACATCATTTCCAATTCTTTGCCCTTTTTTTTTATAATTATTTTATTTATTTTATTTATTAAATTTAAATTTGATAAAAAAAAAACAAGTGCTTAAAATCATTTATAATCATTTCATCAAATATTCATCAAATCAGGGAGTCATTATTTTTCATCAATTGAGCAATCATCAAATTTGAATTTGATGAAAATTTAAAAAGACTAAACTTTGGAGATGATTTTTTTTTAATCAAATTTGATGAAAAATGAAATTTGGGATGAGAAGAGAAGAGAATTTTAAAAAAGATTTTGATAAAAATTTAATGAAAGAATTGAATAGTTGATATCAAATAAAGCTTTTACTCAAATTTAAAACCAAATTAGATTAAAAAAAATATATGATGAAGGGTTGAAATGGAAGCTTATTGATGTGGCTGTTGACTTCAAATGGAGTTATTCTGGATGGTGCTAATGGTTGGATTTTACATTGGTCATGGTGGGCGTGTGGTTTCAGAGTTGGCCCTGTGCTGGAGTAGTGATGGTGATTACATTAACACCGTGCCCAAATAAGGAAATTCATCCAAAGGTTGGTGAATTTTGATTGCCCTTTTTGTTTGGTGATTCTTAATTTTTGATATGCGTCGAATTTACCACTAATTTCTTGATGACATTACAATGAAACTTCAAACTTGTGGTTCATGATTTGGTACATTCTTGGTTGTATGGGCTTCACTAAAGGGTACCCAAAAAAAAAAAAAAAAACAGGGGATTTATTATAGTATGATTGGGATAAGCAGTAGATTGTAATTTGTGAAGATTCAAATTGCATACTATTGAGTGGTAACATAACAGCAGATTGAACATGTGGACTGAGTAGGATGCATGAAAATTTCTATGAAGTTGTCACAGATCAATTTAGTAAATAGTATTTTTTGTAGAAAAAACATGGATATGGATATAGTCATTGCAGTCGCTAATTCTCTACTTATTCTCATTTTGGACACTTATTGCCATCTTAGGATGAGAAAGTAGAGAAATAGCAGTCCTGATGAAAAAAAAAATCCAATTTATGCAAAATTTACACTACTCAGACATGAAAGTCAGATTTTTTAAACTACGGAGACCTGATTGCTTGAATTTTTCTGCATTTGACTGCCCTAAAAGAAACTAACCCAAGAAGGTGAGAAGTATTAAGACTTAATACTTCATATGCCTTCCCATCTAAAAAAAAAAAAACTTCATATGCCCTTTTCTGGTTTATTTCCCTTTTTCATCTAACTCCTACCCCTGCCTCCAATTGGTAGGTACTTTTGTTCTATTTTTACGACTTTTATATGTAAATATAAAGATTATGGCAAGTAATTGTCTGTAGTTTTTTTTTTTGAATAAAGGTCATAGATATGCCATTAAGGGTACATAAATATTAGTTAATTGACTGACTCATAACGAGAGAGAGAGAGAGAGAGAGAGAGAGAGAGAGAGAGAGATTGGCTAACTCAAGCCAAGTAAAAGTTCGAAAATATGCACCACAACATTGAGTAAGGTCTTACAAGAAGACTATGAACATTGAGGAAAGGTATCGAAGGATGAAAAATCTTCATGAAACATGATATTTTTTTCATGATCCCTAATATTATTCCTTTGATGAAAAGTCTTTGCAAACAAATTGTAATTGTTGTAGAGTGCCATCAATAGATTAGATCTATGTCTACAACATAAAAAATAGCAGGAGACAAAAGTTTCTCTTGACCGCTATCTGCAAGTCAAGACAATAAGATAAACTGGAGCACATCTGAAACCAGAAACTGCAACAATAGAAAAAATTAATTAAAGCCAGAAACAATGTAGCAACTTTGACTTCCCATTGTTAATTATGCATATCTGAAACCTGCTTTTGTCTTATCTGCATTTAATAATCAAATGATTGATCTCAAACTAATAGGAAAATTTTAAAAAACTTGAATTAATAAAAGGAATGGATTGACTTATTGACTTAATCAACCGGCCATGAATTAATATAAGAATTTCCATATATACATAGGTGATACATCTGATGTAGCCTACACCTCCAATGTGTAAGAATTTCTCATTATGACTGTCAAGGAAACCTTCATGATCATGATAATTTTCTTTCTTATCATCATGTTATGCTTCTTGGATTCTCTTGATGCATCATGGGTCAACACGCTCAACCAAGGCGATAAGCTCAATTCCTCTGCTTACCTAGTTTCTGCAGGAAAGATCTTCACACTGGGATTCTTTATACCATCAACATTTTCCAATGACAGTTACTTAGGAATATGGTACTCCAATGACAGTTACAGGAAGGTATGGGTTGGAAACAGAAACACACCTATTGCTGACAATTCTGGTGTTCTCACTATAGACAGTGTTGGCAAATTGATTATCACACATAATGGAGGAGATCCTATTGAACTATATGGGGGTCTAACCGGCACCAACATAGCTGCTACTCTGTTTGACTCCGGCAATTTCATTGTGACAGTGGCAAACAACAATGGATCCAAGAAAGCGGTATTGTGGGAAAGCTTTTACTATCCTACCGACACACTTCTACCGGGCATGAAGCTAGGGGTCAACCACAGGACCGGCCAGAAGTGGTCAATCACATCATGGGTAGGACAAGATGTACCAGCTTCTGGGGCTTTCACTCTGGAATGGGATCCCACTAAACGCCGATTAATTGTTAGGCAACGAGGGGTGATACATTGGAGTAGTGGGGTCTTGGGGGACAAAAACTTCGAGTTTATAACTATTGATCCATCTAATTTGAATTATGTATTCACCAATGTTAGTACCATGGATGAGGAGTACTTAGTTATTCACTGATAAAGGATTTTTTTTTTTACGCCTGAGGATCGAAAGGTTATATCAGGATGGTTGTTAGATTACCATGGTTGGATATATGATGGAGATAGGCCTATGATTGCACAAGTCGATCTCTGTTATGGGTACAACAAAGATAAAGGGTGTGAACTATGGAAGCAGCCTCAGTGCAGGAATGGATACCAAAAGTTTGATGAAAGATCTGGGCATTTTAATGACAGCGATAAAGCACCATTTTATGATGGAAATACAAGCATTGGTCTCAGTGATTGTAGAGAGAAGTGCTGGAATGTTTGTGATTGCATTGGCTTTATGGCTGATATTCGTGGGACTAGATGTCTGTTTTGGACAAAAGATTTGGAGTTCAATCAAGATTATGCCGGTTCTTCAGCGAGGCATTATGTTCTTAGTTCAGATCAGCCACCGCCACACAACAGTAAGTTACTAAATCACTCTTCAATAGGAGCTAATTTTAGAGATAGTACATACTAATCTAAGAAGCACGTACACTTCTAACAAGTTATGTATCCATGTCCAACATGTGTCCAATACAAACACTATGCACACAACAGAAACATCAAAACCATGAGTACCACATATAAAAAATACAACATAACACTAATTTCTAAAGTTCAAAGGAAGAGGGATTATAAGTATACATCTATATGAATTTTCATTTATCATTGTATCCTCTAAATTATTTATTCAACCTTATAATGTGTTTTAAGTGATGAATATGTATGTGTCCCTTCAAATGTCTAAAACGTGTCTGGGTTCTAGGGCACTTGCCTCGTTTAACCGAGGCCTTAATAAGCCTTAAAGATTTGGTTGGGCCATAGACTCATTATCCGAATGCCAAAATAAGTCATTTTTCAATTGCCAAGTGATCTTGAAATTAAATTATGAATAATATGCCGAAACTGGGCTGGTAGGCTAATGCACCTTTTGGTCTGTGGGCTCTTTAATAGCCCACTATGCCCTTTGAAATCCAATTACCACGTAGGTAATTATTTTACTGAATACCGAATTTTCTCCAAATGTCATGTGGATTTATAATAACTAGCCACTTATTAATTTTCATGTATTCTTGTTCCAAAAGTAACATCAACAAAATTTCAGGTGTTTTTCACCTTTTGACTCTCCAACATACATATTATTTTTACAAAAATGGTATATATCACTATTTTGTCGTCTATGTTTCATATTACCGCCTACTTGAATACTTATGATCGGTTCCTTGTTTAGAAATAATCATTAAGGAAATCGTGAAAGAAATAATTTATTGATAAGTAGAGTGTTCACAATGGCATGAAATTGTGAAAAAAAAATAAAAAAATTAGGGATATATATCATTACTCCTATTTTTAAGATGCAAACCATGCCTACTCATTTTGTTTGGGTACATGAACCATGCTACATTATAGAAGTTTACCATTTATAACTCAATGCAGGAGGGAAGCATATATGGATTCCCATTGCTGTGCCCATTGCAATATTTGTTATGCTTGTCTTTGGGATCTTGTGCTACACGAAACAGAGAAAAATTAGACTGCTTGGTACACCTCTTAACAAATAGTAGATTATGATTATATTGAAGATCCTCTTAATAGTTGTCCATGACAATTTCAGTTTTGTGTGTTGATCTAAATAGGGAAGTATGAAACAAGGAACACGAAAGATCTAATTGAATTAATGACACCCAATGGGTACACGGTCACAAATGAACTCGAACTTGATGGGAACCAGAGTAATGATTTAAAAATATTTAGTTTTGGAAGCATCATTGCTGCTGCAAATGGCTTCTCATTGGAAAACAAGCTTGGGGAAGGCGGCTTTGGACCTGTTTACAAGGTATATTAGAACCTCTTATTGTTATGAACAGCTAGTACAAATAAATCATGTAGAATAAATAAGACAGATTAAAAGGTCATCCAAAATTGTGTTGTCATTTCTTATTCAAGTTGAAAGGACGAATCACAAAAGCAAGAGAAACGATGACCTTTTTGGCTTATAGGGTGCTTGTACACGCTATTCATTTGTTTAACACTACTCTAGGAAGGGAAGAAAAAATGAATAATTTAGTGAAAGATTTTCTTACCAGCATTAAGTTACCTTAATAACAATTATTTGTTTCAGGGAAGGTTGATCAATGGAAGAGAAATTGCAGTAAAGCGATTGTCAAGAACGTCAGGACAAGGAGTAGTGGAGTTCAAGAATGAGCTCATACTCATTGCCAAACTCCAACATGTGAATCTAGTCCGTCTTGTGGGATGTTGCATTCAAGGAGATGAAAAGATGTTAATCTATGAGTATATGGTCAACAAAAGCTTGGACTCCTTCCTGTTTGGTTAGAAATGCCTTTACTCTTGTTTGCATCATTACTAATAGTAAATGTAGTTCTTATACAATCTTTCCTAAAAAACTTTATCACTTAATTCTAACTTACTTTGGGCAGATCCTTTTCAGAAGGAGAATTTAACTTGGGAGAAACGTTTCGTCATCGTCGAAGGGATAGCTCAAGGACTACTTTACCTCCACCAATACTCAAGGTTGAAGATAATTCATAGAGATTTGAAAGCCAGCAACATATTACTTGATGGCAACATGAACCCTAAAATTTCCGATTTTGGCATGGCAAAAATTTTCAAGCAGAATGTGTTGGAAGTGAATACGGAAAGGATTGTTGGAACATAGCAAGTGGGAAAATATATATGTGAATATGTATTTTGTATGGGATTGTGAGGTTTACTATAGTATTCCTGCAAGTGTGCTATTAATTAACTCACATGATCAAGTTTTTGTTGAATCCATTTTACAGCGGTTACATGGCTCCTGAATATGCCATGGGGGGTATTTTCTCTGTTAAATCTGATATCTTCAGTTTTGGAGTTTTAATGCTTGAAATAGTGAGTGGTCGAAAGGATAACAGCTTCTACCATGTTGATGAGCCACTCAACCTAGTAGGATATGTAAGTACTAAAAAACTCACATTCAAGTCTGTATGTTTTGCTCACGACACTGTCAACAATCGTGACATTGCAGGCATGGGATTTGTGGAACAAAAATGCTGCTCTAGAGCTTATAGATCCAATGCTAAGTGATTCATCTATACAGCAACAAATGTTGAGATGCATTCAAGTGGGTCTCTTATGCGTAGAAGATTGTGCAGTCAATAGACCAACCATGCCAGATGTTATTTCCATGTTAATCGATGACAACATAGCTTTGCCAATGCCCAAGAAACCGGCGTTTGTCTCTAGAATTGTAGGTGAGGAAAATTCAAACAAAAGCAAGTTGGGAAAATATTCAGTGAATGGGCTTTCTATTTCTGCAATGGATGCAAGATAGAGGTATGGCTCACCATGATATCACTTAAGAGAAATTATATATTTGTTGTTCAGTAAAAGATAAATTGGACGCTCAACTTTGAAAAAAAGTTAGCGCATAAGAAGAAATAGGGAAAATACTTTGCAATGGGTTTTGAAGGATTTTGTAAAAACTTGTAGATCTCACTTTGGAAATAAATAAAGAAAAAAAAGTAAAAGTTGTTCTATAAATGCCTTTCTCCTTAATTTTTACTACAAAATGTATATTATTAGTTACTTATCTTCCCTCAAAGAATTAAAATGAAAAAGCATTTGAATATAATATTTTTGTAGGTTCGATTTGTGTCGTCAGTGTAAAAAATTTCAAAATCAAAATAGACCGTACTTTATGAAAAATGAGTGTAAACTACCATTTTTCAACAATAATGATACAATTATTAGATTTGGATATAGGGAAATTCTACTGTACACACAAAAATATGCACATCATACGCAGACGCATTTTACGTCATTAGATTTAAAATTTTGAATGAAAAGATAAATGAGTCATTGATTACAGTCACATTGGGTCATAACTAATATTATTTTTTAAAAATAAATAAAACAATGCCCAATTAGTACACATTAATATATATTTGGGAGGGAAAATATTGGTATGCACCTAAAATAAAAATAAAAAAATATTGAACCACTAACATGCACACAAAAGTAAAGGGTTCATAAGCCACTACGCCAAAATAGGGCATTAACGGCGGTTTTTTTAGTGGCGGTTTTCGTTACCGTCGTTAAAGATGCTATTAATGGCGGTTTCGTTACCGCCGTTAATACCGCCGTTAATGTATCTTTAATGGCGGTTTCGTTACCGCCGTTTAAAAAACCGCCGCTAAAGTATCTTTAACGACAGTAATGAAACCGTCGTTAAAAAAACTGCCACTAAAACCCTTTTTTAGTGGCGGAGCTCCGGCGGAACTCCGGCGTGTGGTGACCACGTGCGGCCAGAGGTTGAATATGCCATCTACAATAAAGCAAAAGTAATGTTTAAATATTTATTTAGGGAATATATTTTATATAGAGTGGTTGTGGTGTAGTGGTTGGTGTGCATGGATTAAAGGTCACGGGTTCGAGGCCTGGGGGGTGCAAGAAGAGAGAATTACTTTTTTAAAAATTCGAACCTATTTACGGCGGTAAAGAACCGCTGTTTTTGATCCTATATTACTGCCGTTTTTGGTCGACTTTTAACAACGGTAATTTACCCTTTTACGACGGTTGTACCTTTTCCGACACGAGTATAAACGGCGGTCCTAAATTACCGCCGTTAAAGGCTTTAACGGCGGTAAAAAACCGCCGCTAAAGCCCAATTTTGGCGTAGTGAGCAACATATCATTTATGTTACCTAATAAATATTTTACATATGTTATAAAAATATTTCAAAAAGGGGTCCTGTTGAACCCTTGAGTTGAGCCAGGCATCGCCCATGCATATATAGAGAAAACAGAATGCAAACGGTAGAGAGAAATATAACAAGAGACTGAATGCTAACAAAGAATATTCAATTGTGTATTACAACTAATATACAAGTATAACGAAATTGTAACAAATTACAACATTTTTATAACAAACTTGAGAATTGGAGATCAACATATATGGATTTAGAGAAATGGAAAACCACCTCTCATTTTTCTCCATTTCTTATTTTTATTTTTTGTAGGTTATACAGGGAAGAACCATACCTCTATCTCCCATCCATTGTAGTAGAGGAAAGTCTCCAATGCTTCTCCGACTTGCATTTGTGTAATTCTTTCTCTACAACATCTCTTCTAAAGACAAATGTTGGTTTCTTGGTACTGACAAAACTGTTTTGTCATTGTTTAACACAGAAATAACATCTGACATGGTTGGCCTATCTATTGCACGATATCCACACATAAGAGACCTACATGAATGCATCTCACCAATTGTTGATTTACACATGAATTACTAAGCATTGGATCCATGAGATCTAGAATAGTATCTTTGTTCCATAATTCCCATACCTGCAATAGTTGTTTGTTTGAGGAAAACAAAACTTAGGGTTGATAATGATATCACACCCCTTATATATTAATGGGAAATTTGGCTATAAACCCCCTTTACCTTCCTTTCATTGTTAAAAGGACTAAGAAAAAAATTAAATTTTCTAAACTCCTTCATAATTATAAAATCTTCCATAAAGAACAAAATTTATTATTTAAATATTTTTTCAGACTATTATACCCTCAACTAAATCTTCCCACCTTCTCCACCTACTCTCTCTCCACCTTCTTGGTCTCTGTGACTCTGGCCAGCCAAAATCAAGTTCATCTAAGCCTAAGATTCATTAAATCTTTGACCTAGAACACTGACCTGGTTCAAGCAATCACAATCTGACCTGTGTATTTGAATTGAAGCTTAGTTTGAAGCTTTAATCTAATTTGCGTCTGTTAAGAAACCAAGGACTTCATCACAAAATTGATCCGATTCGACAATTAACCCGAATTCAAGCTTCTGGAACTCGCGATTACGAACTGGAGTCCTTTGCGATCTGACCTTGGGTTCTCTCTTGTGACTCGTTGTTCTTTGAGTCAACTTCGATGAGAACTTTGGATTTCAAGTTCTAATTGGAATTGCGATTTCAGTTTGTATCTGGCTTAAAGGTTGCAAACTTTAAGTTCGAACGACTTGCAGATCGACTTCGCTAACTGAATCGAAATCAGACTTGTGTTTGCTATCTTGAAGCGAAATTAGACTCAATTTGAAGCTTCTATTGCAATTTGAAGATCCATCAAGTTCGCAATGACCACGTGGAGAAGAGTGCGGGTGGAGTTGTTTGGTTATACATATTTTTTTAAACACAGATTTGAGTTTTGAATATATGTATATATATATTTGTGTGTATGAGTGTTGTTAAACACATGTATTCTTTTCATTGAGATTTGTGATTGTTGATCGAGTTTTAGAAGTTTTTCTTCTCAATTAGATATGTTGATTTATTGATTAATTTGTTTTGTTTTTGTTTGTTTGTTTGTTTTTTATTTATTTTTGTTGTTTTGTATCTAATTTCATTTGACAAAACCAGAGTTATTGCTCTGTTTTTTTCATTTGACAGAACCAGAGTAAAATTTTACTTTTATACAGAGTAAAATTTTACTTTTGTGTAGAGTCTAACATTTTACTAGTTTTTCAGAGTAAAATTTTACTTTTATACAGAGTAAAATTTTACTTTTAGTTTCAGAATGTAAAATTTTACTTTTATACAGAGTAAAATTTTACTTTCATACAGAGTAAAATTTTACTCTGAAATATATAGTGAAGATGACTTAATAGGAGAGCTGATAGATATGAGGGTAATATAGTAAAAGAAACAAGTTTTAAAATATTAGGGGGTTTTGAAAGTACTTATATAATTCTTGTCCTTTTGAAAGAAAATTAGATAGTGAGGGGGCTATCACCAAATCCCCCTATATTAATTAACCCAAGAAGATTACAAGAAAGGAATCAAACATATAATCTAAATAAGGAAACAAATAATAGAGTAATCTAACATATATTCTAACACTCCCCCTCAAGCTGGTGCAAAGATATCTCTCATGCCCAGCTTGTCAAGTATTTCATGAAAAGGTTTACCCCTAACTCACTTGGTGAGGATATCTACAAGTTGTTCACCAGACTTCACAAATGGAGTACATATAGTGCCGCTAGTGAGCTTCTCTTTGATGAAGTGACGATCAATCTCAACATGCTTTGTTCTATCATGTTGAACCGGATTATGAGCTATGTTTATAGCAACCCTATTATCACAATATGTGCATGGAGTCTATTTGGCCAATTCCCAGATCACTCGATAACAACTTTATCCATAAGAGCTCACATACACCTTGTGCCATAACTCTAGATTTAGCTTCTGCACTAGGCTTGGCATCCACATTCTGTTTCTTACTTCTCCAAGTAACCAAATTTCCTCCAACAAAGGTATAATACCCTGAAGTGGACCTCCTATCAGTTGTTGATCCTGCCCAATCAGCATCTGTATAAGCTTCCACACTCAGATGATCATGTTTGGAAAAATAAAGACATTTTCTAGGGAAAAATTTCAAGTATCTCAAGATTCTCATAACTGTATCCAAGTGTATTTTACGAGGAGCATGTGTAGACTGGTTAACTACACTAACGGCAATAGCAATATCAAGACGAGAATGGGATAAGTAAATGAGCTTATCCACTAGTATCTGATAACTTCCCCTATCCACGGTTGCTCCCCCACTATCATCACTAAGTTTCTGATTAGGCTCTAGTAGTGTCACAAGCTTTGCTTCAAAGCATCCATGTTTCCTTCAACAACTTAAGAACATATTTTCTCTGACAAATGAAAATTCCATCTTTGGAATACCCAAAATACCCAGATTTAATTCAAACGTTTGGTAGCTGTTCCTGCACTCAGGCTGCTTCCACAGTTCACATCCTTCATATGTGTTGTACCCATAACAAAGATTAACTACTGCAATCATAGGCCTATCTCCGTCAGATATTTGGCCCTAATCTAACAACCATCCTAATATTACCTTTTGTTCCTCAGGTGTATAAATTGGATCCTTTATAAGTGCATAACCGAAGTACTCCTCATCCATGGTACTAACATTAGTGAATACATAATTGAAATTTGAACTATTTGTCATTATAAAATCAAAGTCTTTGTTGCCCAACATCCCACTAGTCCAATGTATCACCCCTCCTTGCTTAACAATTAATCGGCGTTCACTGGGATCTCACTCTAGAGTGACAGTCCCCAGAGCTGGTATCAATCTGCCTAACCATGATGTAAGTGACCAGTTTTGGCCAGTCTGGTGATTGACCCCTAGCTTCATGCTCGGTAGAAGTGTGTCTGCAGGATAATCAAAGCTTTCCTATAATACCCTTTTGTTAGATTCATTGTTGTTCACCTCTGTCATGATGAAATTTCCGAGTCCAACATGTTAGGGAAAATATGTGATTCCCACAAATAAATCA